CTCGTTTCTTTCTTAGTGCTCAGCTCCACCCATCTGTAGATATTTTTAAATATAATTTTGTAGCATTTTAAAATAATTTGGATTTGGTGCAATTTAAGTTATTAACTAAGACACTAGACCCATTAAATTTTTAAAGTTTAAATTAGGTTATTTTGTCCTTGAAGAGTTCCCTAGTAAGACATCTGCACAACACTTTTCCCCCTTAATCTGGCAGAGTTGGAGTTGTAGACTATGCCAGAGTTTTGCTCCTTTCTGCTCATCCCGTCTAACCGACTGTGGCAGTTCTTTGTTCTTTTTTTTTTTTTTTTCAGTGAGAAATTGTATTTCACGAGGGCTCACTTAAAATAATGAAATCAAGAAGATAACTTTTTAAAATGATGGTGAAGAATAAAGGTGAAAAGAACGCTAGCTAATTATTCTACTTGTAGTGAAAAGCTTCTAATCTACTGTCCTTCCCACTGACTGTCAGGAGAACTCAAGTCTTAAATGCCTGTGGGGGTTTTTGGCATGTAACTCCAGGTACAGCATTTAAATATAAGACAACATATTATTGTCATTGTTTTCATATTTGAAGATAAAACAAGAGAACGTCCAACAAGTGTGGGCTTTTGAAAGGAATAGTCATTGGGCAGCCTGCCTCAGTTAAGACAGTTTTAGCTCTAGGCAATTCACAACGTACTGTTTGCAGAGTGGCTCTCTGGAAAAAGTGAGTGTGAACACCGGTGCCAGACTTCGAACCTACTTAGTAAACCAGGCTCTTCTTTGCTGGGGAGAGGATTAACCAATGAGGACAATTGCAGAGGTAGAAGAGATTGATAAAACTTCAGCTCATTTTTATAATCCTTCCAGTTTTTGTAGCTCTGCCTCATTTGCATCTCTGTGTAGCTTTTGTATTAGGAGTTCGAGTTGGCTTAGGAGTAACTACCAGTTCGTTCGTCTTTGAAATTCGTTAACTGTGTACTGTTTCTCCTTCGATAGAATGTTAGCTTTTTAAACTAAGAATGTTCAAAAGCTTCTTGCCTAAACTTTTCACTACACAATTGTGAGCCCTTCTGTTGAATATGATCATAAACTTTAAAAGAGTTTTCCCCCCAAAAAGCTTGGGAAATTCCCTAGGATTATTTAGCCATTCACTCAGAAGTGAGTATCATTGGCTGAAATTGCTGCTTGGGTTTCTGTTAAATGAGAGAACTTTAGGAGGAAAATGAAAGTGTGTCTAACTCTGGACCAATTTCACAAAGTTGCCTGTGAGTGCTTGTTTCTTACTTCATTGATTTGTGTTAACTCAGCAACAGGAGTCAACCTCATTTTTTTCCCCTTTTGTTTCTTTTGAAGTGATTTTCTTTGTTCTGAGGTGTGAGGCACTCCCTAGATAGGAGTCTCTGTCTAGCCACGTCTTTTACCTCCTCCAGTTTCAACTGCAGCCCAACTCCAGCCAGGGAAGGTGAGGCTGGCCTGGCCTGGGAAGGAAAATAGTTCTGCCTTCCACTTGCCCAGAGCCTGTGGGCTGGGGCCCAGCAGTCCCCTCCAGCACTGCTCACCAAGTAGTAACTTTTACTTACTTTTTTTTGTGTAACATTTAGTGGCATGTCACCATTTGGTGATTGTTTTTTTCCTGGTCTTCTCTGTAGGTGGGGGGGGGGGGGTTGTAAACCAGGTGTGGTGACTCCGGTCTGCTGATTGGTCTGCTGATTAACGGTGGCTGCCTGGAAGCCGGTTCTGGGGCGGTTTAGTGAGACAGTGTGCTCCCCTTTCTTGGCTCTCTGTAGGGTTGCTAGGATGCTTTTGCAGGGTTTCGGTTTTGTTTTGAAAAACCTGTGTGGGTCAAGGGAGGCAAGGACACCAAGGGACACACACCGGAAGTTCGGAGAGGAAGCGGCTCACTCGGCTGTTTGTGAGGTGTTTCTTGTTCCTTGGCTTGTACATAATAAACCAATCACTTTTTCAGAGTTCTATTGAATCAAAATGACCTCTTGAAATCATGCAACTATGGGAGCCTCATATGAGCAGTCCTGGGCCTGGAGGGGACCAGGCTTCAGTGCACCCCAGTCCTGGTCCTGGAGGGGATCAGGCTTCAGTGCACCCCAGTCCTGGTCCTGGAGGGGACCGGCTTCAGTGCACCCCAGTCCTGGTCCTGGAGGGGACCGGCTTCAGTGCACCCCAGTCCTGGTCCTGGAGGGGACCGGCTTCAGTGCACCCTAGTCCTGGTCCTGGAGGGGACCAGGCGTCAGTGCACCCCAGTCCTGGTCCTGGAGGGGACCGGCTTCAGTGCACCCCAGCTGTGCTGCGGAGCTGAGCCCCGACCCTGATCTTTTCACAGGTCACTGCAGTCTGTGTGGTGTCTCCCAGGGATCATTAGTTTATCTTACCTTTGTTTAGGTTCTGTTTTTTAAAAAAATTTGTTTTAACTGGGGTGGTAAGTTCGACTCAGGACAGTGAATGTCTAGAAATTTCATATAGGAGAGACTCAGCACATAATGTTTTCTGTGTGTAATAGTGAAATTTCAGTGCATTGCAGATTTTCCAGAGCAATTTTGTTAGTTTGCCTCTCACTGATCTTAACCCTTAAAATTGTATATTCATCTATTGTATGTAGGTCATTTGAAAACTCTTATCTTAAAAATAAATTTTTATTATTAAAGTCTTGCACAAAATTTGTGTCATGATTTTCTAAGCTGAAGAAGAAAATGGAAGTGAGCACTTCAACCCCAGTAATACAGAAGCCCCATCTGTCCGTTTCTGTACCCCCGCCCCCAGGAGTAGGTACAGGGGACAGTGGTAGGTAACAACGCAGGAGAACAGGCCTCATACCCCTGTTTTCTTCCCTGCCTAAGAGAAATGCTTCACTTCCCTCTTGATCCTTATCTAGGGAGCTGTAAGGTAGGTAAGACTCTGGATGAAGAAGGAATTCGGGGGTTTCCTATTGATTATACAGGCCTTTTTTTTCCTGCTGCATCCTGAAAATTCTATAATAAAATATATTGTATTGAGGCTGCTTGAGGGGAGACTTAGTAAGATTACAGAATATTGTCCAAAGAAATGTTCTCTTTTAAAATTTTTTTTAAGTATTAATGCATGCTGGAAGCCCTGGTTTGGTTTATAGAAAAATCACTACGTATGACTAGCACATCTGATGGACAATAAGGAGTAGTAACATTTCAACTGGGATGAGCTCTCGTGTCTTTTTGGAGACAGGAAAACTAAGCATCAGAGAAGGGTCATTAACTGGACCAGCAAGGTTTCCACATGGGAGAAATCTGAGCTGCCACGAGCACCTACCTCTCTCGATTCCAAGTCTTTTCTACTGTGGCAAGTTAGCAGAATCTAACCTCCGCTTTTGTTGTAGCCGACTTGTGCGTTTGGATGTATCGACCATTAAAAACTTTCCTATGAAATCATGTTGGTGCTATCAGTTGCTTGGTATCCTTTCCCCATCTCTCCCCTATTTTTTAAAAAATGGTAATTTGGTTCTTCCTATACTTGTTATACTAAAACTTTTTGTTTATAAGTGAAATTTGATTAAATTTTATTAGCCATATTAGTGATTTTACGTTAGTTTCAAAGAATTATGGCACTTTGAAGCAGTAAGAGGTGATAGCCATGATTCTGTCTTAAATTTATCTGACTGGTCAGCACCCATTAAACTAGCTGGGAAGAAAGTCTCACATGCCAGGGACACAAAAATTTAAGATAAAAGATAATTGATGGAAGATTATCACAGTAATTTTATTGTGCTGCTTCTTGAGACCACTGTATTGTATATAAAAGGAAAACATTTTAAAACACATAACTTCTTGAGTAGTTGATGAGTTGGCTGCCATTTTTTATCATGAGAACTAAAATCTTCCTTGGAATAAGCAGACTTATAACTTCTTTGACTAGTAACAAGTGTTGAAAAATAAGACCGTGTCCATCAAAGGGAGGTTCTGTTATACTTCATGACCCTAAATTTTGTTTGCTTGGTGAAAGTCCAGTGCTGTAATCAAGGCAGTGACAGACATGGAACTTGACTTCTGTTAAAACTTGGTTTTGCTTTAAAAATGAAATGGTTAGATTTCAAGTTAAGCAAATACGTTTACTCAGTATAGTTATTTATGCATTTATTATCATAGAAATAGCTTGGATATTTATTATGTTGACTATAAAGTTTTCTTCTGTATCACATATTTGCTATTCTTTCTTGGGCTAAATTGGTCTTGTAATGTCTTATTTATTGCCAGCTCGCACCTATTTTTTTCAGTAATGCTACTTTAAGTTTATAATATGCATGTAGTCATTAATTTGATAAAAGCAAAAGTCATCCAAACCTTTTCATCCCATACATGGAGGTTAAAATACAACTCTTCTAATAAAAAATGTTATTTAGTGCTTAACAGAAAGCAACACAAAAACAAGAAAAAGGAATTCTTTTTTTAAATTTAGCTATGCAGCAGGGGGCACCAGATGAAGGCAGAAATGAATTCTTATATTTTAAATCAGCTACAGCTTGTATCCTGCTCACACTTAAATAACATGGTATTTAATTGTTTCCCTATTAGTTTTCTTAATGGCTTTAACTTTGCAGTTCTAAAAGCTTTGTGAAGAAGACATTGATAACAATTCTCACTTATTAATTCAAATGAAATTTCTTACAGCCACCAGATTAGTAATTACACACATTTTTTCTTAGACGTATACTACTTTTAAGGTTTTAAAAAGGGAAGTAAAACTACATTTAATAAAAAATTTCTTGTTTTAGCATAGGCATTATTTTATGTTTTTAATACCTTTTCTACAAAATGTTTTTTTCACTAATAAAAAAAGGAAAGTCCTAGTGATCTGAAATGGTTTGAAAGCTTAATTTTATTTTCTTTTTATGTGAACTGATTTTTAAATCTGGAAACCTGTTCCCTTTAGCTGATAAATAGTTGTGTAGGAATTTATTTCTGAAAAGCCTTTTTTAATATTAAGCGCCGTTATTCAGTAGTTTCTCTCTTTCTCCCCACCTCCCCACCACCCAGTTCAATATCAGATGGAAATGATGCGGAGCCTTCGCCATGTCAACATTGACCATCTCCACGTGGGCTGGTACCAGTCCACCTACTACGGCTCGTTCATCACCCGGGCTCTCCTGGACTCGCAGTTCAGTTACCAGCATGCCATTGAAGAATCTGTTGTTCTCATTTACGGTTTGTAGGAGTTTCCTTTATTCTTCTTTTCTTCCCTTCATATCATTACTGCTACTATTTTTGCTTTCTGTCTTTCTGCCTCGAAGAGCAGCCTGGCAGGCCTTCTCGAGTAAATACCAACCCTGTTTCTGCAGCAGCCTCAGCAGCAGCTAAGTCTAGACAGGGTTTCCTTCTTTCTGTTTATTTTTCTTGCTATCAGAGCCCTGATGTGTACATTTTGGAATGCTGGAGTAGCTGCTTCATTTTTATTCCTCCATCTCCCCTCCCTCGTTTGAAAGGGCTGGTGGAACTAGACCAGATGTCTAACAAACCCCGCTTGCTAGAGTGTCTGGCTCTGTACGTGACTGACCAATCATAACACAGTGTGCCAAGATTTTTTTATACCTCTGACAGCAGCGTACAAAACCTGGACTGTTTCTTAGCACAAAGATTTTTTTCTTTTCGGCCCATTTAATGGTGTTTCCTCAAGCTCTCCAGACCAGATGTTCTGTGCTGTATCAGAACTGTAGGCAATTTAACAGCTTTATAGCCTCCCCCCTCCCCAAACACTCACAGTTTGCCGTATCTGGCAGACTTGCATATAGTTTCCAGCTGAGAAGTAAATGTAACGTCCTGAGTATCTGTCAGAAAAAATACTAATGAATACGATCAATCTTATGAGCTGCCCCCAAATTGTTTCAGTATGTTAACAATTGGATTACAGTAAAGAACAAGTTGTTAAAGTGTACTTATATTGGCTGGAAACATTGCATCATCAGACCTTGATGAATTTTCCACTTGTTTCCATCTATTTTGGTTTTCATTTTATCACCTATTGCTAAAAGTTTCACTGTGTTAAGTTTCAGACAACATGAATGTTAACACAGGTTTTAGGCGAATATTGGCGTGCCAGAGCCGTTACCGTGCGGTGAGTGCTAAGCTCCCGTACTCGCGGACTGTTGAAGCAGTCAGTTTTGACAAAATGAGTTTCTCTAAAACTAAAAAAGACATTTTTGTGATAGCACTTTGAGTTTAGTGTATGTGTTTTAAAAAATCTGCTTCAACTAAGAAATTTGAACATGCATATCAGTATGGGTAAATTTTGTTAGTGAGGCTATTCACTGAAATTAGTTCATTGAAGAACTATATCAATACACATAGTGAATTTTAATATTTAATATTCATCAGTATTCTAGAACCAGTATTACTAGTTCTAGCTTAGGAAGTTATTCTACCGGTTATAAATAGAATAATAGGTTCCTCCATTTTCACTTCGGTTTTCTACACTGGTTTGAATCTGTGTCAAATTGTATTCTGAATATTTATTTTGATCTTCATTTTGCAAGGGTGGTGTGCTGAATAACAGAATGTGCCTAGAACCAATGTCATTCAAGCCCTGGCAGTGACAGAATTCTTAGTAATTACTTTCTCTTTTTCTTATTCAAGATCCCATAAAAACCGCCCAAGGGTCTCTGTCACTAAAGGCATACAGACTGACTCCTAAACTGATGGAAGTTTGTAAAGAGAAGGATTTTTCTCCTGAAGCGTAAGTGTTTGGGGGCCTATAAGGCATACAGTAAAGGGCTGAGTGTTTTTCTTTAAAGATTTCAGTTTGCCACATTTATGGAATCCTCGGTGGTGTGGTAATGCTTTTGCCATGTGGACGGTAGAAGTTTCCTGCATGGCCGAGTGCCACTGATTTCTCCCTTTCCGTGTTTAAACTATTCTTTGTGGACTGTCTCATCTGTTGTTCTCACCAAGGGTGAATTCAGTTGGAGTAGGAATTAATTAGCTACTGGGTTTGGAGAATGAAATGATTAAATAAAGGGAATGAATGATCAGCGGCCTGTGAACTCCGAGTCAGTCCAGTTGTGAGCTCTTGTCTCGTAGCAGCGGGTGGGTTTGGGGGTGGGGTATAAACATTTTAGGGTTCAGAAGGATGTGTCTTACTGGGAATTTTGGGGTGACAAATATGCAGAAAATTAATCAGTAAAGCTGTTTTGTGATCTTACACAATGGCATTGGAATATTGGCATTAGAAATTTTAAGAAATATTCAGAACTTTTTCATTTTCTGTTCATTATAGGAAATTTTTTTCCTTATTAAAGTTAGTGGCTTTGACTTCACGTAGGACAGACAGAAATTTCATTGCTGGTTTTCTATTTGACTCCTGAAATAAATGAAGGTGCAAAGAATATAAAAAGAAAATGTTTTAAAGTTCTTTTTAAAGAACTTAAAAAGAAAACATGAAGAATTTCTGGATTATGGTAGTTAAAAGTAAGCCATGGGAAGCTGCATCTTGCCGTGTTCTGAAGCATCGGATGTGGGGTGGTCTGGGTGGTGGTCTGGTACTTGTTAATCTCTCCAGTTCGTGGGCTTTTAAATGGACTTTCCATTTCTCTTTTCTAGCTGTTTATTTTAAAGGTTTTTAATATAGGTTCTATAGCATAACTTCCTGTGACATTTACATTTTATTATCAGTGGAATTTAGAGGCTACCTGGTTACAAAGAAATAAGTTTCTTTTACCTGGAATCTTATCTTCTGGATTTACAGCTCAAATGCAGATCATTTTTGTTATTCAGATCACTCCAGTTATGCTTGACTGTGAAACTTATTCTCCCCCTTTTTTAGAGAGCACTAATGAAACAGATCCTGGGGAGGGCCTGTAATTAGGGGGAAATGTATGAAATAGTTTAACATTTATTTCTGACCACCAGGCTAAATTATTTTTAACATGCTTCACAGATTGAAAAAGGGAAGTATCACCTTTGAGCACATGTTTGAAGAAGTGCCGATTGTAATTAAAAATTCACATCTGATCAACGTCCTAATGTGGGAGCTTGAGAAGAAGTCAGCTGTAGCAGATAAACATGAATTGCTCAGTCTTGCTAGCAGGTAAGGGGCCCTGCCTAATGAAAAGTCCCTTTTTATCACTTTCTGCAAAAGATTCTGTTACTTAGACTCTAACCTATGAAACAAGAAGAAAATTACTGAAGCACATTTTGAGGTTACTAAGACCTGTAACAACAACATGTAGTACTTGTCCTGCCCAGGAAAACCGCCAAAGTGATAAAGCGAAACAGTATTTGAATACCAATGAGCTCCTGAATACTGCAGGGCTCCTCCGCTGCCTTTGCTGTGTATCGTTTTTGCTCTGATAAGGTAAATGCCCGTGGCGGAGGTTCTGCTCATTTGGCTCAGCATTATTTATTGCACCCTGCCCTCAGAGGCTTATGGTATTTTGTATCTGGGTGTTTAATAATGCTCAGGAGAAAAATAAAAATACCTTTTTGTTTTACTGGTGGTACTGGTCCTAGTTCAGACGCAGACTTTATTAGTAGAAAGCTTCCAGTTTGAATTTCCAACTGAAATTAGAATTTTGGGGACCTGGCACTGCCCTTAGACAGCAGTGACATAACGTGCCCGCCGCGGCTGCTGCAGCGTCTGCTTGCAGAGATTATTTATTACGTTGGTAAAATGCTCACTGAAGTGTTCCAAACAGTTGTTTCCTATATGGAGTTACTGTTTCTTTTCCCCTCATTTATTCTCTTAACAGAAATGGGAACAGATTTCTACATATAGCTCTTCTTCGAAGCCCTTTAAGCTTGATCGTAGTGATTGTGGTGGGTGGGTGAAGGCAAACACACCCATAAAGTGAAATTAAATGGACAGAGTAGGTAAGCAGTCAGTATGCTTTTGTTGAATGGCTGAAAGAAACATTGTTTTCTTAAGGAATGAGTGTGGAACAGAAGCTCAGTTACTTAATCAAATTTCTAGTTATCCCAGATGGAAGCTTGTATAACAGAATGATACAGAATTCTTTGCCATAAAACAAGATGGATAAATCCAGAAGGATCAGAGAGCCGGGTGTCTTCTGCATGCTCAGGATGGCTAGGGCTGTGGGACCAGAGAGCCAGGTGTCTTGTCCATGCCCTGGGATGGCCAGAACTGTGGTTGAAATGCCCCTCCCGTTGTGTGAGTCCACCAGAGGCCCAGGAAGTCTTCCCAGGAGGAGAAGGGAACCGGGTAGTGAATGACGTGCGTGAGATAGCCCCGTTGCGAGGCTAATTTGGCACTAAAGAATGTGCTGTTCGACTGCAAGCATATATTCATAATAATCCTTTAATTTGTCTCTTTTAGAAGGTCATATTTTTCTTTATTGCTTTTACAAACCCACTTGGCACACCTGTATTTAGAGGTTCGAGCTAAGAACCTTTCTCAGCAATGCAAAGTTACAATTTGATGAATTAAATATATAGTTATATAATAATTTTAAATTTACTATGTGAAAGCTTTTGCTTACATAATTTATGTCTTCACCCTTTTCCAAGCTTCCTTTATGGAGCGCACAAAACACACATAGCCCTTCTGTGCTTTAACGTTGGCTGTGAGCTGGTGCATGGTGTCTGTTTGTCCAGGGCATCAGTTTTAATAGCCAAGAAAATGTTCCCAACTCGCCATAGCTACTCAGATTGAGGCAAATACTGTAGTTTAGTTTTTATCTCCTGTGTTTGTTGGTGGAATAGGAGGTGAGGCCCTTGGCTTTTTCTGTGACGTTGCTTTAGGGGCACATTGGTGCCCCCGTTGGGGGAAACCATGAAGCAGCCTTGAAGCAGCACTTACGCTAATGGACTGTTGACACTGGCCCACACTGATAATACTGTTTTAAAAGCTTTGTTCTTTTCAAATTTTATTTTATAACATTAATCAGGCCAGTTGCCATAAAATTTTCTCTTAAGAAACCACATCAGAAATCATTCTTAAGCAGTTCCTTAAACATTTTGTTTGGTCTTGCTTTTTTTTTTTTTTCACAACCCATATGTGGTTACCAGTTCTTTGATTTACCTGATAAATTTGTCTGTGCTGTGAATAAAACATGCGATAGTCCCTTCATTTAAAAAGTTTTAATTTTTTATTTTATTAGATGAAAGTTCTGGTAATAGCTATTTTATAACAGCTTTTAATAATTTTTTTAATAAATGTGTTACATAAGCCTTTCACTTTTCACACATGGAAAAACAATTATTTTTATTTCCCCTTTAAAAAAGTAAACTAAGGGCGGGCATCATAGGAGGATAATAAGGGTAAATTGACACCATGGCCGGAGCTGACTTGTCACTGCAGGTCCTGGTTGGCATCTGGGTAAGGTGTCTGTGTTCGCTTTTCTTGTCTCCTTCGGGATAAACGAAAAGGCTATTTTATTGAAACTCCTAACAGTAACTCCCTGTTCAAGTTTTCTGGTTGAACTGGTACTGAAAAGACCCCCATAAAATTGCCCTTGGTAATGGACCCGTGATTTCCTGGTATCTGAAATAGTTGTGTATTACTGTTAATTCTTTTTGCCTTACAAAGACTATTGTAAAGACTTTTGAGTCTGGTTTGTTTGTTTGTTTTAGTATTTCTTATTGGCTATATTTCTGAAGAGCATTGTAATTATATAAACCCATGTTACAAAATGTTTAAAGTCCACGCTGCCTGTGCTTTTTTGTGTTCTTCACTATAATTGCATATATGATATCAGTATTTTAATACATAATACTACAGTACATAATATTACTACTGTACAGACTTTTGGTGGAGAGGGTGAGTCTATTCTAGTAGTACCTTTCTCATAACTCACATCAGTGTAGTCAGCCTCCAGTCTTTAAAGCTGTGGGAGCAGATGCTGGGTCCTTTTCCACAAACTGCAGTAACTCACCTTCAGGACTTTTTCTACACTGTCACTGTGCACCTCCTTCTCACTGCCCCAGTCACCTGGTCCCAGGATTGATGCTGATCCATTCCCTTCTCTGAATTCCTGTATGCTTAAAGGTGTAAATGACTTAGTTAACAACTAATCATGTAGTTAATTATAGCACTTATCTTTAATATCATTTTTAGGGCCTCAGTTCTTCCACTGGTCAGAATGTGAAAGGACCAGGGTCTCCCCTTAGGCCACTCCCTTCCATCCCTGCCTTCCTCCCCTTCCTCCCCAGATGTCTTCAGTTCCTCTCTCTACAGGTTCTTTCCTACTATATTTATTGCCTTGTTTTTCCCAGTTTTAGAAAATCTTGAAAATGTTCACCTCTTCAGAAAAATTGAAAGAGTAATCAGTGAACAAACACCCCATGACCCTGTTACCTAGATTCACCAGCGGTGCATCTTGCCACATTTGCACCTGCTCTCTAGACACATAGAAACAAACCAACCAGCCATGTACTTTCCCCTGAATTATTTGAAAGAAAATTGCACACATGACTCTTAACCCGGAGAGGCTTGAACATGCATCTCTTAAGAAGAAGGACATTTAATCTTGTTTACGACTCTCTCATCTTAAACATCAAAGTTACAGAAAGAACATCTTTTGACCTCATGCATCATTATCCACTTTCTTTCACCTTTTGCTTCTTTTTTATCCTTTTTTAAATAGTCAGAATTTTTAGTAGAATTTTATACAAAGAATAAAACCCACCATTTAAAAAAGTACAAGTTATTGGTTTTTAATGAATTTGCAATGTTGTGCAACAATCACCACTAGTTCCAGAACGTTTTCATTGCCCCAAACAGAAACCCACCACTCATGAACCAGCAACTCCTCTGTCCTGCATCTGCTGGCCGGCAAGGGTTGCTTTCTGTGCGTGTGGATGGCCTGTTCTGGACATTGTGTGTAAACAGAGCCGTGCAGTAGGTTTTCTGCATCTGACTTCTTCCACTTAGTGCAGTGTTATGTGAAGTTTCGCTCACATGGCAGTACTGCACACTTACGACTCGGCAGTATTCTTTTGTGTGGATGAAGCACATTGTATTCATTCATCCTTTGAAGGACATTTGGGTTTTTCTGCTTTGGGGCTGCTATGAATCGTGCAACTGTTAACATGCATGTGGAGGATTTTGGGTGAGCATGTTTTCATTTCTCTGGAGCATGTACTGGGGAGTGGATTTGCTGGGTCCTCCAGTAACTCTGTGGTCAACTTTTTGAGGAGCCGCCAGGCGGTTTTCACAGTGGCCACACCGTGCTTTTGCCCCACCCACCGCAGTGTGAGAGTGCCCGGTTTCCGTGCGTCCTTGCCCACAGGCCTCAGTAGACTCCCCCGGGATTTCCTGGTTCTGCTCTCCAGTCTGTTCTCTGCAAAGCAGCCAGGGTGGTCATGTTAAAATTTAAGGCCAAACCAGTGACAGACGGGTAGAACTCCAGGGCACAGTTCACCCGAAGTTGAGGGGTCTCGTTCAGTGTTGCTGGGTGTCATGTGGTGCAGCGAACGTCTTCCCAGGTGGGCTTGTCTGGCGCCCTGACCTGGTGCTGCGCTCCAGCCCTGCCCTCTCTTCTCCTCTGTCTGGTTATTAGCGCCCCTCCCAGGCTGCTGCTTCTCACCCTTTGCTTTCAGCCTCTTCTCTCCCTAAAGAGATGTTGCTGCCATTCTGTTTAAGTGTCTCCGCTTCCCCCTTTCTGTCTTCCCACCGCGAATCAGTTGTAACCTCGGTGGAGACAGAGACCATGACTGTCTCTTTCACTGCTGTCTCCGTTTGACAGCACTGAAGCTGGGATGTAATAGGTCTTGAAATGAGTGAATGAGTACTCTTTGTCAGCTAGTGGATTTATAGCACATGTGCAGTAATGGGCCTTACCACATGGTAGGAGATTGTTGCAAGCAGAAATCAGTGAATATGCTGGTCCTTTTCTAGCTAGTACATTAATGATGTACATAAAGTGATGTGCATTAGCATCATGTTACAAGATTTTGGTAAGTGAGTTGCAGTAGGAATTTCTGGAGAGGAAAAGAAGTAGGAACAGGTGTATCACAGATTCTAGGAAGGGTAAGAGCAGAGAAGCCCTCTCATAAGGCTTTGCATTTTGCTGTTGTTGCTCTTTGAAAACCTGTTAGATAGAAACATCATGTACCAGAAGTCTCAGTCTGTTTGCATGGTCTTTCCTTTCCGTGGCTACCGGTTTGAAAGTTGTGCAGCACCATTTCGGGGAGGGATTGCTAAGGAAAGGGGTTCAGAAGTACTGACCTTAGGTTAAACTTGGTTGTAAAGAAAAGAAATGTACATGTAGATTTCCTGCCAGGTACATTTAACAGTTCTACCCTGACATGCATGTGCTCTGACAAAAAGAAATGGAGCTATTTCAGACGTGGAAGGTTGAATAACTAGCTGACGCGGAGCCTTTCCTCTACCCTTGCTTTTATGTGTGCGTGCCTTCTCACTCATTTAGCAAATGGGAGACCAGTTTAATGCCTCGGAACTCTTCCAGAGCGGTGGCAAAACTGTAACTTTAAAATGTGACGTGTCAGTATATTTACGTTTCAGCAATCATTTGGGAAAGACACTGCAATTGCTGATGGACAGAGTGGATGAAATGAGCCAAGATATACTTAAGTACAACACATACATGAGGAACATGAGTAAACAGCAGCAGCAGAAACACCAGGTTGGTATTATGGAAAACTTCAACAACAGAATTCATTTCTCAGTGTGATGCTTCAAGAGGCATCTTCCAAATGATCTAATTATCTTTGATAAAGTACTGACTTTTAGCTAGTAACTCTATATCATATTTTAAAAGATTATCTTTGTGTAGTATGTTTCTGATATATTGCTTGCAACATATACTTAAAAATACCTTGCTTAAAGAGAGCCACTTTGTTAAGCTCAGATTGTAATGCCAAGGTTATGCAAATAAGAGTTGCATTTGTTGCGAATCAGAGGCAGAGGGATTCTGCAGTGTCACAGCTCATTTCTTTACTAACTATAATTGGTTTGGTAGTGGCTCGTTGCAGCATAGTTAGCAATCTTCAGTTCATTTACAAAACTGAGCAATTGTGATTAAGAGCAAGCAATTTGGATAGGAGATAATAGACCAACTGCTGTGAAATAGATGGTATAATACAGATAAAAACCCTAGAGTTACCTGAGTATTCTCATATGCCCAAACACTGCTGTGGCCATTTAACCTTTTCTTTATTAGTGTTGCCTGAAGGCCACCCGATTTTCACAATTCCCTGGGGTATTGTTTTGGGGCTATATTGTTCTGAAATGTTCTTAACATTTGATTCATAGATCTGTCATCTCTCTAAAGAGAGATTGCATCCGTACTACTTAAAGTGTCCATATGTGGAAGTGTTCTGTATGACTGCTTCGTGTTCATTCACATGTACTTTTCAGTAGGTGTGGCTAACAGTAGAATTAAGTGGTTCTGAGAATGTGGTATTAATTTTTTAAAATATCAGTGTTCATTTAAGTATTTTAACTGAGAAAATGGCGGTAAAGGTGGTGATGGTGAAGATCTCGGATGAACTGGGGAAGAAAGGCCCGGACCCTACTTGATTGCTTTCCTCTGCTGGGCCTCCCTTTGGTTAAAGGCCTGGGCCCTGGGTGTCAGACTGAAAATGTGTCCCCCGTGGGACAGTTGATTCTGGAAACCAGTCTTCAGCTATTTCTTCAGAATTCTAGTGTACCTTACAATTTTGCATTTGATGTTTATTCTTTCTTACCCATAACCCATATTAAATATTAAGTACAGGAATCTGTGCAAAGCAAGTTACTCCTCTACTTGAGGAAGAACTGTCACTTCCCCTGGTTTCATAGAAACGGCCCCCAAGAACTTGAAATTTGTGATGCCCACTTTGGCTTCCCATTACCTGACCTTTTAAGGCTCTGTGTGGGATGTCATGTCCCCCACTGTTGTAAGCAGTTTACAACTATTAGCCTATTAGCTCTTGTGTGTACTTTGATCTGTATATTTGTAGGTTGTCTGTACTAGGCATCCCCCCCCCCCCCAAGTTAGTCCCTGGCTGTTAGGAACCAGGCTGACAGCAGGAGGTGAACGACTGGCCAGGGGGGCAAAACCTCGTATTACCACCTCTTGCCTCTTGTCCCCATGCCACCATTCACCCATCTTCTGCAGACAGGTCTCTGGTGCTGCAAAGGTTGGGGACCGCTGATCTCTACCTTTATGTATATCCCTGCCTTCTCTCCAAAGAACCATAGTAATCCAGAGTTGGAAAGTTTTTGCAGCATTATCTGAGCTAATGAATGATACTGATCTTAGCTGTTGACTTAAAGCACAGATGATACCTGTATAATAATAATAATAGTGGTGACGATGTTCAAATAATGCGATAATGACCTCATCAGTATTGTTGTCATATTGGTCAGTATGGATGGAGTTGAAAGAATTCCTCCCTGTGGCATCTCATTACTGAGTTATTGAAGTGGAGATGACTTGTCCTTGTCATGCTGTTGTCCACCCCATTATAAGAAATGGTGAAGTTACTCCCCCGCACTCACTAATTAATCGGAGCTGCTTTGACTTTTAAGCCTCCTGTTTCTCACGTAAGCAGTTTTGTTTTTCCGAATCATTACTTACAGACCCTTAGAGCTCAGAGTGACACTGACGTTTACAACAGAGGAATTTTCTGTTGCAATGTGTAGCCTCTCAGGAGCAAGGGGAACCAGAGGTTACCCTTTATAAAACAGATGGGAGTTCAGAGCAGTGGGGTGCTGCCGGTTGCCTAAGTGAGAGAGTTCTTTTATTCTCATCAGAGAAAAATAACCGCATCACGTTCCGTCTGAATTTCAGTATCAGCAGCGCCGCCAGCAGGAAAACATGCAGCGCCAGAGCCGGGGAGAACCCCCGCTTCCCGAGGAGGATCTGTCCAAGCTCTTCAAACCGCTCCAGGCCCCGGCCAGGATGGACTCCCTGCTCATCGCAGGTACTGGTCGCCAGTGCGGAACGGGGCTGGTTTCTTCTCTTCTTTAGAAAGCAGGCGGTGGTGAGAGAGTGGAAAGGACAGAAAACGGACGTCGTAAGAGTTAGTCCATTTAAAATGGTTGAATGACAAGTTGAATCTGGTTCCTGTAATTGCAGAATTTGAGAATTTGTCGGGCTGTGTTATTTTAATGTCCTTTCGGTGCTTCACTGTGTGTGTATATAAACATTTTTGAGATGGCATTATAAACGTTCTAAAATGGGAAGGTTTTATTTGTTGTCTTCCATGGAGAGTAAGAAAAAAATTGTACAGTCTCATAGTGCAGAAGACCATTTAGCTGAAGCTGTTTATTTGTTACGTTCTAGCACAGCCCTGAGCCCAAGCCTGTGTGGTGTTCGAACTGAATTGAATCTTCCGACTTAACGGAGAAGTGTTTCCCTTAAATTGTAGCAACATGCATGTAATTCTGGGTGGACTTTCTCTGGAGATAGTTAACATTTAACACCTCCTTTGAGTGGTAGAGATTTTATTTTCTATGTTAGGACTTGATTCTGAATATGTAACATTCATTCATGATCTTACTAACTATAAGTACCTTATTTCTGTATAAATGTTGTTAAATGCTGTTTGATTCAGTCCGTTGTCTCTGAGGCATTTATTAGAGTGAAGAATCCTATTCAAAGAAAATTTGATCTTCCATGATTTCTGTTGGTACAGTTCTATTGATCTATTCTTAAGGTGGAAGAAAAGTCTAAGTTCCGTAAAGCTTTCTAGAACAGGTGTAAATTAAATTTGGAAAGCCCAGACACATTCCTTACATAAGGTCCAGTGGAAATAGAATTGTGTTTCTCATACTTTCAAAAACATGTGACTTTGCAGCAGATTAGGTCATTAGTGGTGAGACTTGGAAGCAGCAGCGCCGCAGTCCTTCCTTCCTGCAGCCTGTGCTCCGGCCCCCTCGCGACTCCGAGGAGGGGGGGAGCCCTGGTGTTTCCAGAGCACAGACTGGAAACTGCTCAGCGGTTCCCGCCCAGGTCCGGCAGGCAGGCTGTGGTTCCTCCTGCCCACCGAGGGCCGCTGGTGCTGCTGTCCACCTCCTGCACTGTTGGGCTGAGTGTGTGGTCACTGCATTTTGATCGGCAGTCAGTATGTTCTTAACTGCTGACAACTTTTTAAAAAGTTAGTTTTCCTGCTCTGTGTAGCCAAGAGTGGGATGAACTTAACGTCTAATCCTTATTACCCCTAATGGAAAAGTAGAGTGGATTCCTATATCCTTTTAACTCAGAATACCGGTGGTTCTGTATTATGTTGATTTCTTGTGAGATCAGTGTTCTGGGTCATTGGGTAATTTGTGGAATGTCATAACTCACTCTTTCACTTTCCCAAACACACAGGCCAAATTAATACTTACTGCCAGAATATCAAGGAATTCACCGCCCAGAACCTAGGCAAACTCTTCATGGCCCAGGCTCTACAAGAGTACAACAACTAAGACAAGGAAGCTTCCAGAAGACGAGTTAACATGGACTCTCAGGATCACCTTGGGGCAATCTTGGAAGTAATACATTTGCATATTGAAGTCTTTCTAGCCAATAATAAAATATATATAATAAAACAGTCTTGACTGCTTACTCATTTGGTTTGAGACATATTGTATCTGGCTGCTTATTTTTGCTTTCCTTCCACCAGTAACTTCCAAAAGAGGAAACGTTCTCACCAGAGCTCAGGCCTCCAGGGTCCAGCACCTTCACTATGTCCGAGGTGCCACTTCTCACCCACGCGCAGTTAGTGCTGCTTGTGCCGACTCCTGACCCAGACGTCCTGGCACCCACTGTGGTTCTAGCACCTCACCGCTCAAGCGCCCCGGGAAGCCCAGGCCAGGCTCCCCTGCACCCGAGGCCTGCGGTCCCTCTGGGCACTTCCCAGAGGGTCTGCCTTGGTGTCTTTTCAGGTGGTGGTTGACCAGTCCTCATGCCCATAGGTCACAGGGCACAGGAACTTGACAAAGTAAGTTACTTTACTAAAGGGCTATATTTTGTATGAACATGAAATTCATTCTACGTGTATTTTTAAATTTTAGGACTTCATGTTTATCTTTTTCATGCCATGAAATAAAATTCTGCTACTTATTGAGTGAAGAAAAAGGATTTGGGAGGACAGTGGTATATTGGAAAAAAGCTGGTGATTTGTATTTGAAAGGTCGTCAAAGATCCCACTGTTTGAGTACTGCCCAAGTCAGGTCTGCCTGCGGTGGAGGTGCCTGTGACGCTCAGGGCGATTTTCACCTTGAAGACTCACGCAGGAGGACGGTCAGAAGGAATGGGTGAAGGGCAAGAAGGGTTGAGAGACCTTTTTTCCAACAACACTGTTTGGGCGGCCCCACTGCGGGGTCTGGGGTCAGGCAGCCGGATTGATACCTGGCCCCTCTCCCTCCAGTGTTGTCTAGACCAGTCACTTAACCTCACATTCCTCATCTAGGTGAGAGGAGAGAAGGAGACAGTGTGTTAACACCGTGGGGTAGGTGTGAGTGTTAGCAGTTCACAGGGGGTCGAGGTAAAACGCAGATCACAGTGGCTGGTACGCAGCAGGCACCGGGTACCTGTTGTCTGTCCCGTGTATGTGTGTGGGGTTATTAGCAGGTTTTTCTTTTAAAAAGCTTGGGTCCTTGATCATTCTAGAATCCAAATACTTCCTCACACGAGTAATTCGTTTTCTAGGATAAATTCCTAGAAGTGGATTTAACCAGTCAAAGGGTATTTAAAATTCGAGGGCTTCTGACCTGCACTGCCAGTTGTCTTTGAGAGAGGGGACGTCGATTTGCTCCGTCACCTATGGTGGCGCCTTGCTTGAGCACGACTGTGTCACGCAGAGGCGGGTGTCGATAGACAAACTGGCCACGCGCCTGCCCTGCGCCCCTGTTCTCTGCTGACTTTTTCCCCTGCATTCTCATCCTCTGGGTTTGGAAGTACATTTGGAGTTGAACGAAGCATGCAACAGCAAAATGAAGGAAAATAAGTTCAAACATAAGCCTAACTTCTGTTTTCCTCATGGTGTAAGGTTAATTTAACAGATCCAGTTATGTTTTTTTAAGGCATGATTCCGTTGGTGTAAATTCCATCTGATTGTTTAGATACCCGCAACACGGAGCCGTACGGGAGTGTCCCCAACAGGAGATTTTGGTTGCGTCCGAGTGAGGTGGGACGGTGGCGGAAGCATGGTTGGGGAAGCCGAGCCAGGGGCCGTTCAGCCTCCAGGTGTGCGGTGTTGGGGAGAAACTTCTGTTCTGCATTGGTTGGAGGGCTGCGTTCTGACACCCTTCAGTAACAAATGCCTTTGGTTTATCTTCTGTAAATATTTGTGGTTTCTTCAAGGTGAAATGAGAAAAGCTCATAAACTGAGTACAGGTCTAATAAATTATTCACTTACCCAAGAACAAACAAATCTGAGCGTGTTAATCTAGTGGAAAATTATGACCCAAGGAAGAAAAATATTTGCCATTAACCCCATAATTGATAAAGCTTTATAAGGTCTCAGAAAACAGCATTATTCTTAATTAAAAATACCTGAGGAATGACTCTATAGACTGCCCAAAATACCTTCCTCTTTTAACAGTGAGGTCAAGGAACTCCCATGTTTGAAAGCTGGGAAGTTGAAATGTGGTTATCTATTGTTACCCTACTTAATGGTGGTTATTGTGATTTCTCATTGACAGCATTTAAATATTTCATATGTAGTGTCTTTTAAAACATTACTACATTGTTTGCTGTGTTTTTATAGCATTCTTCAGAACACCTACGTCAGCTTCACTTTTAAATTTTGCTGGCATTGAACTCGTGTGGATATCAGAATGTTATGAAATCCTTTTTTGAGTTGTAAACTCCATTTGTATAGTAAACATTCCTTATACAAGTTAAATGTGTAATATGCCATTTATCAGTTGTTGTTCTGTTGTCACTGGGTGTCCTTTGCTGTCATCGTTCCATCAGAGAAATGGGCCAAGGGCGCTTAAAGGGGCAGCGCTGCACCGGGGCCAGCCCGAGTTCTCTGCAGGGCTTGGTTTAAGCAGGTGACGCGAGTGCTCGTCTGTGGAGAGCACAGTCAGGTCGTCAGTGCCTTGCAGAGTGCCTTGGTCCTTTCAGCAGAGCAGCCTCCCTCCCTTGGGATGTGTGGGAGGGGTAATGACGGGAGGGAGAAGGTGGGGGTGTTTCTGTATCCCACTGCCCGAGGCTGTGCTAGAGTCCTTAGAGCCCACTTGAGTGTGAACCTCTCTGGGTAGAGTGGAACAGCGTTGGCACCGATGCCCCAGTTACAGAGACAGGGCGGGAATAGATGCAGAGCCAGAGCTTCTGGGAAGTTAACGGTTCATTGGAGCAAAGAGGCGTGGCCCCGTCCCCATTGCCTTGAGCTTCCTTTTACATAGATGACATCCTCTGTAATGCACCTAAAGCCTGCTTGGTTCCTGGGCTACTGGCAGAACCCAGAATGGCTGTTCTGAAGCCTCAGTAGTGATTTTGGGGGTTCAGTCTCTGGATTCAGAAATGGTTTCCAAGGCCACCACCTGACACTGGGGAGTGTGGATAATTTTGTAGGGGGTTAGTCTATCCCTGGTGCTTCTTGACCTGTATCCTTGTTTTCAGAGGCTGTTAAGCCCTTACTTACATCATGTGATCAGTGTATTAGAGTCACAGTTTGATTCTGCAGGATGGATGTTGAGGTCAGTTGCATTTTCTTACCACTGTGAGTGAGGCCCCCATTTTCGAGCCTCTCATTGGATCAATCACAAGCAGTCTACCAAAGATGGATGCAGGCTCATGTCTAACTTAAGCATTCCCTGGAACCTTCACGAGCTGCAGGATTAGTGGATGGGGTGCTGAATCCACGCTTCCTCTGGGACTTGCTGGAAGTCCTTTTCAATATTTCATTTCTTTCCATGTGCATCCTTGCCACCTCCAAAAAATAAAAAGTACAAGCAAGTTCCATCCACTGATCCTGTACAATAAGGAAAGGGAAAGATGAGTTTCTCTTTTAATCCAGAAAGGACTGGTTTCACATTAGGACCAAAGGGACGTCCCTGCCATTTCTTCATGAGACCTGTAACAGTGCAGGGTGGTCCATTCCAAGCATCGCCGAATACTGCGTTGATTGCAGTAGGAAAAGACTGCTTCTGGCATTTGTGTCAGTCCGAAGACGTCCACTCAGGTGTCCCTTCATTTTCTTCAGTAATGACCCCTCTCCAGGGCACAGCCATTTCTGGCTACTTCCACTTTCCCTTGTGGACATGGAGGCAGAGAATTTGTTTAACTTTCAACAGTGTTTACTGCCTCCCAGGGTAAATGGCCTTTCCTTTTTCTTCTTGGACAGCAGCCTTTTGCAGGGTTGCACTGTGTGTGTTGGAGATGGTTCTTATTTTGTCCGATCCCCTGAGTAGTCTTTCCCCACCTTTGTTTATCTTGTCATTTGGCTTTGGTTTGCTAAATGCATTCCTGGGGTCAATCTGCCTGCAATTCCTGGCCGCCTCCATTGTGAGGTGTTTAAATTGCATTTCGTTTTTTTAAATAGTCACAAAGATTTTACCCCCCCCCCCCATGTCACCTTGCATCTCTGCATGTCATAACTCTCCTACCAGGCAGGCAGTTGTCCCCGTAACCTCATCCAGGTCACAGTGGTGAGGGTCTGTGTCTGTGTCTGATGTGTGCAACTCCCATTATTGCTAATGAAAGGTCTTCCTGTGCATTAAAGGGAAACGCGGCCTCTAATGAGGTACAGAGAGGAACTGCAGCTGCTGGTTTCCACTCCTAGCTCACTGCACTATAACAGAGATGCGCTCTCCGGAGGCAGGGGGCCAAAGACATACAAAATGCACGCACTTCCTACGGAAAACGTCCAGCCTGGTCTTAATGGACGGGTGCTGTTGTTTGGCTTGTAGTCTCTGACGTTCTGTACCTGCCGAGGGAGACCCCTATGATGGAGGCGAAAGGCCCCGATACTTGGAGAAGGAAGTGAAGAGACTAATTACATTGCATTTGAAATGGCTTTTAAAAACAACCCAGTAGCATATTGTCTCACAGTGTGCAGAGTACTTGCGTGTTTTCTTACTTGGAAGGGGAAAAGGGCACAAGGGTGGTGTGAAGCCGAAGTGCCTGGTGCTGACAGCACTAAAGGAGGGAGAATCGCTGCTCGGGGAAGGTGACCCGAACCCAAACACGTTGTGCCCTGGCCGGGTGGCTCGGCTGGTTGGAGCGTCCCCTTGTGCCCCAAAACCTCGTGGGTTTGACTTCCGCTCTTGGGTGCCTGTGGGAAGCCGCTGATTGATGTTTCTCTCTGACATCAATGTTTCTCTCCCCCTTCCTCTTAAAATCAATGATAAAATATCATCAGGTGAAGATTAAAAACAAACAAAAAACATTGTGACTGACTAACGTCAACCTCCTAGGAGGCAGGACCAAGTGGACGTCAGGTCTGGAGGTCTCTGACCAGCATGCAGCACGACTTCCTTCTCAACGCAAGTCGAGGAAAGTAGTTTGTGTTTCAAGATAGCTTCCTCTTCATGTGGTATTTCGTGATGACCCATTCTCTCCCCTCCCCCCCCATCAATTCCAGAGACTTTCACTCCTAAT